TTCCTCTGGTTTTCTTTATCATTCACTCATGTTTCTTTAGTTTTTGTTGGTTTTCAATGTTTCTTCATTATTTTTCCTGGGTTTTCATTGGCTTTCATTAGTTGTTCTTTTATTTTCATGTGTGTCTCCTTGCTCTTCATTTGTCTTTGAATCGGTTTCTTATGTTTTCTTTGGCTGTCATCAATTTTGTCTTTTGTTGCTCATTGGTTTTCATTGCTTTTTTGTTGGTCTGTCTTTGGTTGTTCATTTGTTTTTTGTCGTTTTCATTGTTTTTCTTCGTTTTTCCTTTCTATATTTTAATTATAAATAGTTGTTCATTTGTTGTGTTTCGGTTATCATTGTTTTTGTTCATTGGTTTTCTTTGGTGTTTCTGTTGTTTTTCTTTGGTTTTCATGTTTTTTCATTGGTTTTCAATGGTTTTGGCGGCATTCTAAATTCAAAAATCAAAATTTGGAAAACTGCTCAGCACTATAAGTTTCAGTGCGTCGCTACATGAAACCACAGTCTTGCCATACAAAGTGCGTATTTTAGGGTAAACAAAAACATGTTAAGTTCTCTCTGCGATCAAATCTTCCATAAATCTTCCAATTCATCATCCATAAATCCTCCATAAATCCTCCATAAATCATCCATAAATCATCCATAAATCCTCCATAAATCCTCCATAAATCCTCCATAAATCCTCCATAAATCCTCCATATGTCCTCCATAAATCCTCCGTAAATCCTCCATAAATCCTCCATAAATCCCCCATAAAACCTCCATGAATCATCCTCCGTAAATCCTCGAAGCCGGGCTTCAAACATTTGGCTCCTTGATCTGATTTTTTTCTGCGGAGATGTCTTGGTGATGGCGTGTGTTGGCTTGGTTGGGGCTAGATAATTTTCTCACAATGTGCCACAGGCACTTGCCATGAGAATGGTATGTATGTCGTGAGATCAAATCCCTTGCAAACACATTTTGAATAGCAATGCTCCCACAATGAAGCAGCCAGATCTAGGTATCTCAAGGTATCTCAAGGTATCTCAAGGTATCTCAAGGTATCTCAAGGCTCGGAACGGCTCAAAAGGAGCTGGGGAGCTGGAAATTGAGTATCTCTAGGTATCTCTAGGTATCTCAAGGTATCTCAAGGTATCTCAAGGTATCTCAAGGTGTCTCAAGGCTCGGAACGGCTTAAAAGGAGCTGGGGAGCTGGAAATTGAGTATCTCTAGGTATCTCAAGGTATCTCAAGGTATCTCAAGGTATCTCAAGAATCGGAACGGCTCAAAAGGAGCTGGGGAGCTGGAACTTGAGTATCTCTAGGTATCTCTAGGTATCTCAAGGTATCTCAAGGTATCTCAAGGTATCTCAAGGCTCAGAACGGCTCAAAGGGAGCTAGGGAGCTTCTTTTTTTTGTATCTCTAGGTATCTCAAGGTATCTCAAGGTATCTCAAGGCTCGGAACGGCTCAAAAGGAGCTAGGGAGCTGGAAATTGAGTATCTCAAGATATCTCAAGGTATCTCACGGCATCGTGCATAAATCCTCCGTGAATCCTCCGTGAATCCCGTAAATCCTCCATAAATCCCCCATAAATCCTCCGTGCATCCGCCATAAGTCTATCATAAATCCTCCATAAATCCTCCATAAATCTTGCATAAATCCTCCATAAATCTTCCAATTCATCATCCATAAATCCTCCATAAATCTTCCAAAAATCCTCCATAAATCCTTCATAAATCCACCAATAGATCCCCCATAAATCCTCCATAAATCTCCCATAAATCTTCCATACATCCTCCATTCATCATCCACCAATCCTCCATAAATCCTGCATAAATCTAGCATAAATCCTCCATAAATCTTGCATAAATCCTCCATAAATCTTGCATAAATCCCCCATAAATCCTCCATAAATCCACCATAAATCCTCCATAAATCCTCCATCAATCTATCATAAATCCTCCATAAATCTTCCATTCATCCTCCATAAATCCTCCATAAATCTTGCATAAATCCTCCATAAATCCTCCATAAATCCTTCATAAATCCTGCGTAAATCTGCATATGATCCTCCATAAATCCTCCATAAATCCTCCGTAAATCCTCCATAAATCCTCCATATATCCCCCATAAAACCTCCACAAATCCTCCATAAATCCTCCATAAATCCTCCATAAAACCTCCACAAATCCTCCATAAATCCTCCATAAATCTATCATGAATCATCCATAAATCACCCATAAATCCTCCATAATTCCTCC